TGTGTGTGTGTGTGTGTGTGTGTGTGTGTGTGTGTGTGTGTGTGTGTGTGTGTGTGTGTGTGTTTGCTTATGCACATAATTTCTTTATTTAATTTTATCCAGATTGATTTGTTTGAAACATTGACGTAAAACGAAGAAGAAAGAAAACAAAAATAAAAATAGAAAGAAAACGTAATTGATTTATTACTTTACATTATGCAATTCTGTCGTCACTGATGTTTTTGATTTAACAAATTGTGTATATAATATAATAAAATATTTATATATCTAATAAAAAATTAAATATACTTTTAAAAAGATAGTTAATACTCAAATCTTATATTTAAATTCATTCATTTTTATATTATTTATTTTTAAACAAATTTCCCTTTATTCTATTTACTTCTTTATCCTTCTTTAATTTATTCATTATAAAAATTCATTGACTCCCTCCCTCTGCGTTCAGTTGAATATATATTTACTTTGCAATTGTTGAAAGTTTTCTTCGAGCTGATTAAATTATTTTAAGATTTAAAGAAATAGTCTTCATCGGAAACGCATCGAAACGCGAATGGATTTCCAAATGTGAAGTGTAACACTTTAAAGTACAGAAGCCATTACGGTTGTAACAAAAAAGCTGATTTGAAGTACACTTTCACGCTAAAATAATCAATTGATTTAAATGTACATAACTGGACAAAACCTCCGGTTATAAAAATTACGATTTTAAATTGTTTATATTTTGTATGAAGAGTTTTGAAGTGAATTAAAAAGATTTGTGAGTCATTCTATTAATTATAATTAATGAATCTTTTTTGGACCATATACTTGACCGAAATAATCAGCCGGATCTAAATTCAACGATATTTATATGGAATCATTTGTATTTCGTATGACGAATTATGAAGTATCATTAAAAACATTTGTAAGTCTTCCAGATATTTTTAATTAAATATCATGTATTTGTCCAAAATATAGATTCAGGCGCTACAGGTTACGGAAATTCCGTTAGATGTGATCGGTAGTTTAGTAGTTTTGATACTCCTGGTTCTTTTCCGATCATACCATTCATAGCCATCATTCGCAGCCAAACGGCCCGATCTCCGGGCCGCTCTCCCCCCCCCCCTCCAACTATCTCTCAGATCGCCTCCCTACGACAGTAGCAGAAGACGCGAGTGCTTATAAGGGATATATGTTGGTCTAAAAGTTCAAAAAATGCAAGCAATCTCCTGCACAAGCGAGGACTTAAAGAAAAAGAAAATATCGTCTAAATCAGGTTTAATAGTTCTCAAATATTCGAGTTACAGTTTTGTTTCTTGTTTCTACACAGTGAAATATGACATGGTTCACATTTTGCTTCAAATCTCCGTATATACAGGATGCCGAGGGAACCATTTCTTTGCGATGCAAACTCTCATTTAAATTGTAATGGTTACTTTTGATTCAATTAATTAGTACAATTTCACTTCTTTTAAGAGAAG